CACTTTAACTTTATCTTACCACGTGGCATGTTAAAACACAAAATTAAAGGATATTTTGATACATTTAACATAAAAAATCTTTTTTTTTTTCTTAAACTTCGTTGAAAATCAAAATAAATCATCATTTTTAAAACGAAAAGAATACCAATTAAAAATAAAAAAGGGAAGAGAGAAAGTAATAGAAGAGTAATATTAGTACTACGCCTCTTAACGCTCTCCAAAAGCCGCCTCGTTCTCTCTCTTGGATTCACAAATCCAACCCCTTTTGTCCATTTGCAGGTTTTCGCGGCCCACAATAACATACCCACTTGCTTCTTCTCCCTTTCATTTCCATTTCTAATGTTTTACTTACCTCAAACTTTGGATAACTACCGATTCCTCCAATCAAAATATACCTACATACACCTCTACGTGGGTAAGTCAATTAGGTTGACTCTTTCCCCTACCTATTTGGAACTCACTCTTTTTAATTCTTTCTTACTTAAAATTCTTATCCTAATTAGCATTTCAATCATCACAACCTTTGGCCTAATAAAACACAATTTTAGGATTAGCGATCGTGACTAAATCGTATTTAGGTCCAAAATCTTATCTAATCAAAGACTTTTGGTAACCATAAAAAAATGATCAAAGATTTATCCGAAAACGTAATGTATCCATTTATTAATGATAAAAGTTAAACTAGTGAATTATGAACAAAATCGATTAACAATCAGTTTATTCAATGTTCAACATTCATAAGACTCGTTATGAAAACAAAAAGGAGAAAATAACAAAACAAGGAAGGAATCACCGGCAAAACTTTCACTTTCCCCTCCTTTCTACACGAGGGAAATCCAGTGCCAATAATTTACAAAAATTCGCCGGAATTTTACTTCCAGGAAAAAACCTTCCTCATAGTAAAAAAAAAAAAGAAAATGGAAAATATTAATACAAACTAATTGAACAAGCTGAGTAATTTGGGTTCTTTTCCTTGATGATCTCCAATGACAGCACTACTCTCAAAACAAGTAGTTGTTCCAGATTCTTCTGAATTCATAGACGGAGTTCCAGGTCGCCGATGATTCTCCGGCAAAGGGTGACTATTATACACTTTCTGATTAAAACCTGGTGTTAAACTGAGATCCAACATTGAAGTTTCCTCAGGAGAACGACGTCGTTTCTGCATCTTCGGTCGCATGTTTAGACTTGGATCCTGAAGCTTAAATACATCGGTGCAATCAGACACCTCATCAATCTCTACCGACGCGCCGAGAAATTCAGAGATCGGCCGTAACGCGCCGCCGCGGAGGACGGTTTCCACCGCCGCTTGACAGACGTGCCAATTACCTGTCCATAATAAACCTACAGCACCGTTGACTGGGTTCACTGTTCTCCCAGCAGCTTCGTATAACAAGGACTGAAACAAAGCTGCAAGCAAAATACACAAAATCAATCAGAGTTGATAAACCAAAAAAAAAAAAGAGTTGATGAACAAAGAGACTATACCAGGCCGTTGGTTTTCTGGAACGGCGGAAATGAAGGACATAAGTCCAGCACGGCCAAAAAACTTAGCTACAAATACAGTAGCGTGTCCTTGTGCTTCCGGTGTTTCGATCCATTGCAAACAAGGTCTCAATATACAGTTATCACTGCATCCTTTTCGAAGGACTCGACAACCATTACAACTCATTTTTCCGTTTTGTTGTTATACTGATATTTTTGTATATATATTAATTGGTTACCGGAACATGAACAAATAGCGATATACTTTTGCAGCAAGAAATAAAAATTTGGATAGTAATAAGCAAGGAAAAGAGAATGAAATGTGCCTATATATAAACAATGAGGTTGAGACTTGAGAGAGAAAGAGTCGGCTTCAAGTTTTTTCTTTCTTTCTTATTTTCAATTTTTTTAATCATGGAACTCATGTAAGTGACTTTAAAATAAAGACTTAAACTTCGAGATTTTTTACATCAATAATATAACCTATTGTATTAATATGTTTGAGTATTATTGCACTGTTCCCGGAAAAAAAATCACTTAATTTATATTAATATATGTTGTACTAATTACAAGTACAATATTTGTCTTATTTTTTAGATTAAAATTCCCACATTTTAAGGAGGTTACTACAATAAAAGTTAAAACACTTATTAACAATGTATAAAACTTAACTTAGATGTGTTTTTGCACTATTAGTGTCTAGAACTTAAACATCTAAATAATCAAAATTTAAATTATGTATATATAATCTGTGTAAAGAAATTATTGTTATTCAACTAAAATATATTTTAGGTAAGCATTCTTAAAACATAAGCTACATTCTTACTATGCGAGTTTTGTGATCTTAAATATAAGATAAATTATTTTTATTTATTTGCTTTAATTAGAGAACATTAATTTATTTATTTTTTAAATATTATTAGGTCACATTTTTAGGAGATGATATAAGTACGTACTAACTCACACCAATAATACAAGAAAATTTCATTATCTTGCTTAATCTTTTTGTTTTAAATGAAATGAACTAGTTTAATTTTCAGAGTAAAGTTAACTAGAGTCAAATTTGGGTTTGTGTGGTTGTGTTAGATTCCAAAAGTATTGGGGGGCGAAAGCGGCTCCGGGTCTCCGCGGATGGCTGTCTATCAACCGTTGGATTATTTTTTTTTCTTTTTCTTATACTATCACTGCTTTTAGGGATGTTGATATGATAACCTATCGCTTTCATTATTTTAATTTTTCCATAAGAGTATTGAATTATACTATTGGTATTCAACCAATTTCTATATATTTTTAGCAAATGAATATGTCGATGAATCATAGGTTGTAGGGACAACTCCTCTTCAATCACAAAAAGAAAAAAATAAATATAGATAAGCAAGTGGCCAAAGGTAATGAGAATTCATTTGACCCATTGTGGACACACACCATGGGCATGGTGGGGACAATCAAAAGACTGTTTTTGTAATAGTGTATTAAAGAAAAAAAGCGTAAAACAGTAACTTTTCAAATTTATCATCGAAAAGGGCTGAAAATAATTTTATTAAGAATAAAATTAAAAATTTTAAGTTAAGATTATTTTGAGTAGTAGAAAGATGATATTTTGTTTGAAATAGACTAAAAAAAAAATGTACTACGTAAATTGGGACGGAGGGAAGTACTCATTTTATGCAAACGAGTGGATAAGGTTAATTTAGTCTGCTGATGGAATGATTTCAATAGGCTCCCCTTGATTAATTAATCGTAAGAAGAAGAAAAAAAGTGTAGCCAAATAGGTGATATCATCTTTTTAATGATTAGGTTGGGAGAAGTTTGCATGGTTTTTGTCTAACTCGAATAAAATGTGTTTAGTAGGAAACTAAAAAGAAACCTGGGTAATCAATAGCATTATTAGAAAATCATAATGATTCTGATTAACTAAAAATAGCACTTTTTTTTTTTACTTTAGTCTTTGTAATTGTATTATTAAAATGATAGATATCGTATGAATAGAAATTTTTGGAACGTGAAATTTATAATTTAAAAAAAGAGTTAAAATTTTGTGTGATATCTATATACGGCTTTAATTTCTGAAAAATATAAGGAGACTAGATTTTAAAAATAAGATATGTTAGCTTGTGATTTGACTTGTAATAACTTGTCACAAGCTAATGAAGCTTTAAGAAAATCTTGTAGCAGCTACCAAAGATTACTAAAAAATTACGAAAAATAATACTAGTACTTGGGACTTTTTACTGAGTTATACCACAATATAAAAAAATCTTAAGTTAAGGTAAATAATTCGACTATTAGAATGTTCGATTGACAAATTCGATGGTCATTATTCTTCAAAATATATATTTTGAGAAAAGCAAAAGATGAAAAGAAGGCTTCGATATGAAAACAGCACCCAACGATCTAATCAAATTTAAACAGTGAATCTTCTTAGTTTTTAGGAATCTTTACACGAATAACCAGACAGCTTATTGTTACTTTTCTTGGTATACATAAATTATACATTTATTATATAAAATCATACACAAACTATATCTTTATCGACTATTTTTTTTTTGTTTAATCAGGTGGATGGATTACTATTTAGATTAATTCTCCTATTTTTAAAAAGAATTCCGAGTGGACATAGCTGAAATTTCTCTGTATATATACATGGATTTGTGGATAATCACAGATACAAATATACAGATATGCTCGACTGTACAATATTTAACGAAACATTATCACATGGTTCACATATGCTGCAGCCTCAGCCCATCCCTTGTTCATCACCTCTATCTTTGGGTTTCTCAGAGATAATCCACATTTTGTGAACAGTTTTTTTCAGACAAAGGGTTAATTATAAGGTTAATTATATATATATATAGCTCGTTAATTAAATGTCTTACTGTTTCTATGTTAGTAATTACGGAAGTCTGTGTTACCTATAATCTCGTTCCCTTTTAATTGGTATCTTTACAAAAATAGTTGGCCGGATTCATGTATTTACTATTCCTAACCATATACATATGTTCATGTTTTTACTATTCCTAATCATATACGCCCTCCGTCCACTTTTATTTTCGGCAATACATATATTGAACCCTAAACTTGATTTCAAATTTTAACTTTGACCTCCAACTTTCAATAAATAAACACATGAATCCTACATGACACACTGCGCGTAGGACATGTAGGACAAAAAATGACATATAGAATACGTGTATTTATTTGTTCAGCTTTATACAAGTTTAAGTATCTACTTGAGCACACCAAAAGTTGAAGAACGTAAATGTGATTCGAAGGCAAGTTAAAGAGTACAAGTATGTATTATGCCTTTATTTTTCATGTTGCGTTTTTAAAAAATCAATTTGACTAATTTTCAAAGTTAAATTAGATTATATTAATTTGATATTTTCAACAAAAAAATTTAAATATTCAAAATCTATACGAAAAGTACTATAAGTTATAATTTTTTCCATATCAATATGATAAAGATACGTTTTAAAATTTTTGTCAAAGTTCTTATAGTTTGACTCTAAAAATAGAAATCATGACAATTAAACATGAACGGAGGTAGTACATATTATACATATATGGCACGTACTATTTTTAGTTCAAGCAGTTGGGTGAGAAGTTATAGGTTAATTCTACTTAAATAATTTTTCTCCTTGGCCAAAAGATGATGCAGATTGACATCAAGCATATCAAATAGCAATCTCCCAGTTCATGGAATCACCTATTTTTGGAATGATCCCCAGTTGCTGGACACTGTTGCAACTTCTTCAAACAGTTAATGTCAAATGGATAGATATAATCTACACAAACAGGAATCACTAAAGTTCAACTTCAGCACTGGCTAGTGGCCTGAGTGCACAATATGACTAGTGTGATTCGTGCATCTGCATTCAAATATAGTAAGTACCAAGGATTTTGTATGAAGTTCACCTAATTGATACGAGGGGAACACTTCTCACACTGGCTACCACCAGGATAGAAAGTACCTTGAGTAACATTTTTCAAGTGAAGATGTCCCAATCAAACTACGGAACATGAGTGAAGTCATTTCCTTTCTTGATTGAAGACATTGCAACCACATATGTGATATGTAGAAAAGTATTCTCAGAGATGAGTACCACAAGACTACGTTCAGCCGTTGAGGGACCATCATCCTTGTGGGCAGACAAAAAACCAAGCACTTGCAGTGAAGTGAAGCCATCAAAAGATATTGGCAAATCCTAAAGATTTTGATTTGTGGGTCCTCTACAAAAGGCAATTAGGTCCAGGATTAGCTTTAGGACCATTATTTCTGTCCTCAAAATGATGATACTTGTGAAAAATAACACTTCTTTTTGCACTGTTTCTTGGTGAATGCAACTGATGTATCTCTGTTAAATCACTAAAGATAAATCAAAGGTTAAATCAAGTCATCACACTAGAATTTAATCTAGATAACACGATAAAACTTTTCCCGTTACTCCCTGATGAGTGGCTAATGTTTGCTTGCAGAGGGATTATGGTAGCTTTTACCTGTTAACCAACATTTGTACTGATTTTGCCTCTTTGGAAGTAACTGTGTTGATAGGACACCAAAAGGCAGATAGTCCAATTGGTGGAAAAATCCTAACCATATTCTAACTTATCATGAACTTTGAACAAATACCATGTATCTTGAATATAAGTGAGAGAGTAAGTTATGCGCTAAAAAGCGAATAAGAAAGCTTAAAGAAGGGCTTTTCGACCTTTTCGGGTGAATCCAAGCTTGAGAATCTAGCTAGGGCTATTTGATCTCTCCCCAATTCCATCTCCGCTTCACGAAGCTCTGCATAGGAAAAAAAAATATGAATTCAATGGGTCCAAGGTTAGTAGTGCAGGTAGATTTAAAAAAGAAGCCATTTGAGCAAAATCCACCTACTCACAACCGGTGGCACCTGGAGATACCTCCAGTAGCAGAGGTGCGAGTTGGGTAGGTGTTCAGGGTTGAGATGTTGGATTTTAGTGGAGGCGGCCTAACAATAGACTATACTGCCGAGGACATCAAGCATGCGGATCTGTCTGTTGTGAGTTCTTCACAACACTCTTATGTCATTGTTTTCAAGCTAGAAAGGGTTATTTCTTGCTCTGATTTTACTGGCCTGGATTGAGCTGAGTTTTCCAAGTTGAATATACTCACTAAGCGATAAATACTAACGTCAAGTCTGTCCACTGTCCAATATTTATTGTCATTTTCAAGAAGGCAAACCGTGACAATTACTGAGATGTGACCCCCATTTGTCAACTAGCAACCTTGTCCCAATCAGCTAGGAACCTTGTCAGTTGCTTTCCTTAGAGTGCCATGTAATGGAAGTAAACAGGCTCAGAGATTCACAGAACACTAAGTCACCATGGCTCCTCCAACTCCAAGACTAGTAATCCCCATAGACCTAAAGAAAAAGCCATGGCAACAAAAGTTGCCACTCCACAACCGTTGGCACCCAGAGATACCTCCTGTAACAGAGATTAAAACAGGGGAGATGTTCCGAATTGAGATGGTTGATTGGACAGCAGGCTCTATCCAAGATAATAACTCTGCAATTGATGTAAAAACCGTTGATCTATCCACTGTAAGTGTGCATAATCTAACATACCCGGTGCATCTAACCAAGAAAGAGTACTAGATCCTAAGTCATATGATGTTGGATATCACTTCAGGCTGAATCATATAACTCTCCTATGCAGGTGCATTATCTCAGTGGGCCAATACGAGTCGTTGACACAGATGGAAATCCTGCTGAACCAGGTGATCTCCTTGCTGTTGAAATATGCAACTTAGGGCCTCTCCCTGGAGATGAATGGGGTTTTACAGCAATATTCGACAGAGAGAACGGTGGAGGATTTCTAACAGACCATTTTCCCCGTGCAACTAAAGCTATTTGGTATTTCGAAGGCATATATGCCTACTCACCTCATATACCAGGTAAGGCTGCATATCTTCTCCTAATATATCCTAGACAAATATACGTATCTAATCCTAATAAGATCTACTGAAAAATCTCACAAACAGGTGTAAGATTTCCTGGTTTAATTCATCCTGGAATAATTGGAACAGCGCCTTCAAAAGAACTACTCAATATATGGAATGAGAGGGAAAGAAAGCTCGAAGAAACAGGTCCCCGATCTCTCAAATTATGTGAGGTCTTGCATTCTAGACCATTGGCTAACCTACCTTCAACAAAAGGGTGCATTCTTGGCAAGGTATGATTGGTTTGCAATTGTTTCAGGAACTGACAACTTTGTCATTCCCTAAAAGTTACATGTTCTGTCAATCCAAACCAAATTCTGTAAAAAAACAAAAGACAAATTCCTTGTCAACAAAACTGCAGCCTAACTTTATTGTAAACAGTAAACAGAATATGATAAAGAGTCATAGTAATATGTTAAACAAACTGAATAGAGAAGAGAATGAACAAACAAACTTCACTGTCAAGCACATAAATTTTTTTTTTGACAACTCATGATTATAATGTAGATTCAAGATGGAACTCCTGAGTGGATTAGAATTGCCAACGAGGCTGCAAGAACAATACCTGGACGTGAAAATGGAGGAAACTGTGACATCAAAAATCTCAGCAGAGGTTCAAAAATATACCTTCCAGTATTTGTAGAAGGAGCAAACCTCAGTACTGGTGATATGCATTTTTCTCAAGGTGACGGTGAAGTATCATTTTGTGGGGCAATTGAGATGAGTGGCTTCCTAGAGCTCAAGTACTTTCCACATCTCAATTTAGCGCTAAATTGTCATGACTAAATAATCTTTTGCTGCACTGGAATTGACTGTTATCAGTATCAATCCTTTGCATCAACAAGCACATTATAACTTCAAAACTGGGCTCCATTAATGACTGTGTTATTTACTATGCCACCCTCTTTCACATCACTGCTTATATGCTACATCTATATTCTTTATCTTAAGGTACTCAAAAATATACTATAAGAGTTGCAAAGGTATCCGTATTGGCATAGAGCAAGTGGTTCCCAGGATTAAGTGAAGAATTTCAATAGAACAGCCTTTTTCTTAAAAAGAAAAATATGTACCATGTTGGAAACACCCAAGTTGGGAAGTCACTTACGCTTAGCTCACCTAATTCTTTATCAATTAATCGCTGGAGCATAACTATGAAGAAGCCAAAAAATGTATAATGTAATTTGGATATGTATATTTTAAAAACAAACTAAAAACTACATACTCCTAAATCTTATTTATTTCTAACGTCCTATAACCTTTTTTATATGTGAACCTGAACTATGAAACACAACCTGAAAACAACACCAGCTATTAACTTTAATTTTCATTAGCAAGAACACAATAACAGACCTCCTTAAGCACCACTCGTTTTGCATCAAGTGCCTTTCTTTCTATGCGCTACACCTCAGCATTTATAAGCTAACAATAGATCTTTACTAGATTTAGATTTACGTTTTTTTTCTTGTAAACAGGTGTGAGATTATAAGAAACGGAATGAAAGAATATCTCACTCCAATGGGACCCACATCACTACATGTGAACCCAATTTTTGAGATAGGACCCATGGAGCCAAGATTCTCGGAGTGGTTGGTGTTTGAGGGCATCAGTGTAGATGAAAGTGGACAACAACACTATCTTGATGCCAGTGTTGCATACAAGCGTGCAGTACTAAATGCAATTGATTACCTCTCAAAATTTGGCTACTCAAAGGAACAGGTATTAAAACTCTCCCCGAAAATCTTCTTGTAACAGAATACTCTCGGGAACAGATAACATTAACATTCAGGAATTGCTGATATAAACATTATGCTGGTGCTATCAGGTTTATCTTTTACTTTCGTGCTGTCCATGCGAAGGAAGGATTTCAGGAATTGTTGATGCCCCCAATGCTGTTGCCACCCTTGCCATCCCAACAGCTATTTTTGACCAGGTACTAGTACTTCTCAGGGTTCAATTAAAGATAATATAAGAGTTGCAACCTACAGGTCCAATAAATGTGATTCCAATATCTGAAATTTCTATATCTTCTGGGGCACTGAGCTATTATTAAGCATGGAGTAATCAATGGAAATATCATACTAAGTCAAGGCATCTTATAGGAACATCCTCTCTGATAGCAACTGCAAACTAATAATTCTATGCAATGACTGAAATCCAAGCTATTTTAGTAGGTAGAACTACAATCTATAGCATAATATCAGTAATCAGCACATGAATATATATGTAACTTTAGAGAAGCCAGCTATGACAAGATACATCATCACTAGGAAATTTTTACCAGCTTATTGACAACAGATGGGCTAGACGAGCAAATGGAAGAAGGAATTGGTGAAATTGTTCAGTTATCTGAAGTAGATCAATCAGTAAAATATCTTTCACCAGATTAAGCTAGAGGCAATAAATATCCGCAAGAACAATTCTAAGAAGCTCATGGAAGTCAGTAGGAAGCACACATGGAAGAAACCATAGACGAATGAGCTAACCAAAGTCAATGTTCCTCTACAATCTTATGTCCAATGTTCTTTAAAAGAAATATTCTGCATGTACGAACTCTGGAGATAACCAAGTTTATCTCATGTCCAATGTTCTTTTAAAAGAAATATTTTCCATATACGAACACTGGAGATAACCAAGTTTGGGACGCATCTCTAGGTCTGTTATATTGCTTTTCTCAGAAATACCTTGAGTTTGGATGTGTCTAAGCGCCGGTTAAGTTGCATCTCTAAGAACAACTAGCAAGCAATGAATTTGTTTTTTCCGGTTCCTAATCTGAAACAAAAATAAATAACAATAATACTAATAAGGATTGTGTATCGAAGGAGTCGCATCTTTTACTAAATACCTTTGGAGTTCACACAAGCAAAATAAATATCTTTTCTGATACAGTTTATAAGCCTATAGCTGAATTAGTAAGTCATGGTACACATTTCCTTCTGATTTCTGAATCTTCTTGTGCTGGGGACAAATAACTACGAAGATGAGATTTTGTTCAATGCTCATCACATAATTCTAAATACTAATGACTTAAAAGGCTTACAAGTTGCTTCAGTCTCTACATAATCTTTTCCTTCTAAACTTTTCCTCCAAATTTCTTTCTAAGATGGCTTTTTTCCCCCAGTGCTATGCTTATTTAAATACCTTATTGGATTATCGGACAAATAAGCTGCACACACAAATAGTTTTCTCATTTCTTATTCATGGAAGATAAAGTAAGCAGTCTAGTCCGACACGATCTTATATCCTCTTAGAATCAAAATCAATGTTTATCACATGATCAGGACTGAAATTCCTTGCAAGTGTCGAATGAAACCACATTATGTGGGTAATTAAAAATAATAGATACAGGTAACTGAAATTGATCTAGAACTATTTAAACCTGGTTCTAAGAAATCGGCCTCTATTGCTGGTTTTCATGAGCAGGAAGTTCTGTTTTATTCCAACAGAATCACTTGTTTGATGCAGGATATTCGCCCAAAGGTCAATAAAGTGCCCCTTGGGCCAAGGCTTATAAGGAATCCAGGAATTCCACAATGTACTTATGATGGAAACCTGCCAATCACCAAAAATCCTTTGCTCCATCAACAAGGGAGCAGCTGCAACATGGATGCTAGCTCTTGAGCATGGTATATGCATGTACAGCTACTGCTGGAATTGTATGACCAAGTTGAAAGAAGCAAAGGTGAGATGCATGAAGCCTAACTAGACCTTCTTAACATCTAAAGATGTAGACATGTTCTTGAAAATGTAATAGCTCGGTATCACCAGTGAGACCATAAATAATTTTTAAATCGGAACATGGTAAACTTCATACTTGGACTAATCATCCTAATGTTGCTGCCTCTCGTGAATTTTCAGAGTTAAAACATTGACGTATTTTATAAATAGGAAAGAGTAACGTATTTTCCAGAGTCCATGAAGCAAATGAGGTTTAAAAAGGATTCTCACAGAAATGTCTCCAACATAAAAAAAAATAAATCATGACAACAGTCAAAGGCAACAAAAAACACAGGATAAATAAGACCAATTCAGCAAAAAGTGAGGCACATCTCCAGCCAACATTTACCATAAAAATAAAATAAAACAAAATATGTATGTAGGCCAACTTACAGAAATTCAATGAGATTGAAAGAGGTTAAATAACTGATATTCAACCTCTGCACTCCTTAAAGAAAGTAAATCCACCACTAGGAGGAGAAAATAATCCTGTATAGTTTCTGTAATATTTCGCCTAGACATGTAAATGTGAAAATCCCAAAACCAGAACCATCATTTGAATGCAAGACTGCAATGGAAATGGAGCTTAATTTTTATAGTCAATAATAGATAGATAGTGTCCGGTGGTGTTGAAGAGATGAGCATATGCCAAAAGCCCATAACCAAAGATCCAGTTCCACATTCAACACCTAGATAGCAAAACGAGATGTCGTCACATTTTAGTGAAAATGACATTCAAACAAAGAAAACTGGAAAAATTGGAAACTCACTTTGGAATACACACAGAACAGCAATAACCAAGTTAATAAATTTAGGAAGGAAGTTCTACCAAATAATATCTTGCAAGGAACACAGGTTACATTTCAGACTAACAGTAACCACACTAGCAGCCTTTATTTATTTATTGCTTGTATAATGAAATCAGGTATATAGATCTCAGCTCAGATATAAACTACCTTAAACATTGGACATGTAACTCACTTTTTCAAATTTTTTCTTGTATTTTACCTTAAGACATCAACATGATATAATCCAAAACCTTGGCTGGAGCAGTAACTACATGTTCTAACCTTAGCTGGAGTAGGCATGTTAGCTGCAATTTGTTTGCCTATTGCCTTTCGATGCCCTCACTTTTACTACTGTTTTTCTAATATTTTCCATTTGATGATTTCTTGTTCCAATAGGCAATAACTATATATTAGAAAGTAAAAAAAACCATATAAATGGAAAATTCCTTACTCGATTTGGTATTAAATCAAAGAGTACGCATCAAATATCCAACACCAACACTTTAGATGGCCAGGATTTAAATTAATGTCAGTTGTATAACTGTTAAAACTAAAAGGATGATTTTTTATATTGTAGATTAGTCTAGTTCATGAAGTCATCTATCTGCAAATTAGGAAATAATTGTTCTAGCTGAAGTATACGGATCACACTGTTGGGATGACAACTGTATAAGCTCCGAGCAGATAGCTTCTGCAGAATGATGTAGTCTCCATACTGCTCAAGTTGCTGCATGATAGAAAAGAACATTAATTAGTTGTACACCTTTTCTGTCATCATTGATTATAACACAAACAAGCACTCAAGGAAAAATTGCCTGGTATGAGCTATGTTTCTCGGACTCTTCAAAAATGTCATCGAGTGCGTGTCAGATCCTTCAAAAGTGGTGCAATTTTGGAGGAGTCCACATGGGTGCAGCAACATATTTGGAGAGTCTGAGCAACTTAGGGTATGAGCGGCACATCATGAAGACATAAACATTCTTAACATAGTTATTTCGTCCAGCCTTTATTGAAGACTCACTCGCATCACATCATGAACAGTCTTAATCTTTTTGCCTTATAAGCTCATCTGTTTTACCTCAATTTCCAGCATCAATCCATTTATGCGAGTTCCCATTGATTTATATTAATACAAACAAGAACTAAAGGACAAATTATCTGGCATGAGTAGCACATCATGAACAGTCTTAATATTATTATTTCCTGCTGCCTTTCTTGAAGTCTCACTCGGGGCAAAGAACTTCTTCATTGCCTTGGTAAAATGAAGGAGGTACATTGATACCTTTTGAAAGGATACATAAAAAGGTATCCTCAAAAGCTAATGAGTCTCTAGAATAATGCCAAAGATCAACACTGTTAGCATATTTATAGGTCAAAGCTGTGTTTCCCACCTACGCAGCGGAAGAGTGAAGATCAACCTAAATATTCTGGTTGGGCTCAAATTTTTTCTGAATAACAGAAAATTTTATGGTGATATCAAATGGCCCAGATTGACCTACAAGTTAAAAACTCCTGAGAATACGAGCCACCTCCTTACCCAGATCCCACTAAAATATCAGGTTCATTGTCGATGATAGGATTCAACAAATTTGTGGCATTCTCCCTATCACAATCCCGTTTTTGAGTCCTCATCACTTACCAAAGCCCTGGGGCAAGTAAAATCTAAAATTGATACTTGTGGGAAAAATATACATCCCATGACAAATATTCTTCTTGTGGTGCAGTGACAAAACTATCACAAGCTTATTAACAAGCATTACCGATGTATGCAATAAATTTCTATTAGGAATTCCAAGAAATCAGAGAGGAACAACAAAGAACCATATCATTTCAAAAAATACTAGATCAGAAATCAAAAAATCATTATATAGCTGGATTTCACCATTTCTTAATGATAACAAGGCTCCAAGAAGATTGATGTAAATTATTTTTAAAAACCGCAAAATCCATTTAAAGGAAGCAGAAATGATTGGGTAAGCAAAAACCATGAGACTTAAGTTCAAACTGGAAGAATTATCAGTATCAGGAAACAACAGCACATTGTACTATGAAATACAGTACTCCAATCAGTAAAACAAATGTATGACATGTCCTTGTTTACATTGGCCTGTTTGGTTTTGAAACCAAAAGAAGATTAGAAATGTGGTTTAGCATTGTTCTCCCAAAACAAAGGGATTATTTTGTTCTCAGGGAACAGCTGTGATGCAAGGACCTTGCTGGGGTCAGGGGTTCCTTTTAATGCTTTGTAATCCAATAGGATTTAATAATAAATAATGGTTTAGCCACTTTTAATCTATTAATTTCACTCATATTGAAGTTCCAAAAAATGATTAGGTGTTTTGAAATATTGTTTTATAGAAAACAACTCAAACCAATTCTCACAAAACAAACACCAACATAAACACAATTCTATAAAATAAATCCAAAGCCTCACATTTGTTTCCTAACCCCAAAACAAATTAAACCATAAAATTTCAACAAAAAATCTCACCTTAAATACCACAGAGGTCTTTGAAGGCTCCAAAGTCGAATCATACAAAGATCTTGGGCAGTTGCGGTTCAACAAAAAAGTGGATATATCCGAGATCTACTTTGCTTCTCAATGTCAAAAGCACCGTCAAAACTCATAGCTATGTAATCAAGTAATTTATGTATGGTCCTTTGGAATTGATATCTGCATTACAAGGGTCAAGGAAAATAGGAATACCTTAAAAAACAAGCATAAGATATAGAAAATGTTAACCAAAGATTAGGTTTCCCTTTTTCTTTGGTCAGGAAAATATACTGAAGTACCCCAGAAATATTGAATGACCTGCAAATTGAACGTGGCTGTTAGGGAAACATACTGTTTAAAGATAACTTATCCACCTCTTATCCATCGATTTGGGCCTCAGTGTAAACATAAGGACCTGAGATGTATCCTAAGAGTCCGAATGAACCATTGCTTGCATTCAATTTATAAAGGGAACTCAGATGAACGGTGAACCCCAAACCCACTGGACAATAGTGGCAATGGGGAAAAGGAGAAGCATGCATGCAAAGCAGGTCATCCTCACGGCATGCTAATGAACAAAATCTAAGATACCAGACAGGAAATATCCTTTAAGTTAGCTGGAATATCTCTAACAGAAACAGACCTATCAATATCAACAATTTTGTAGGGGACACTGGGATGCACTAGGGCAAATCTTAGCAGAGTCTCTTTCAGGGAATGCAAGACCCTCTTTGGGCTTCCGGATTATATATGCAAACAATGACAAAGTACAGCTGAAGAAGCAAAGTAAATCAATATTTTTTGTTTGTTTGGATTGTGAGAAAGCTAGAAGTACTTGGAGTATATTTGTTTCCTTTGAAGTTCGAACTGATTGTGTGTAAAATACATCATGAACAATGACTGAAAAAAAAGGTTCCAAAATTTCCTTATTAGCAAACAGCAGTCAACCAGGCTTGTATAGAATTACCTGTTGTACCAACATCAATCAGCAATTCCAAGGAACAAACACTTGCCCGTGGCACGAACAAAGACCAAGTTAGTAGTTTTATACATATCCTAGTGGATACTACCAACTAAAACTCAAAAGGACTGTACCTTCAAAACCTTACTATGTTCATTTGGCCTCCCCTGAGTTTTAGCAACACCTTCCAAACAAAGCAACGTCAGAAGTAGAGCTCAGAGCCTCTCCTTTAAGGCCAAAGTTTACTGGGAAAGCATGCATATTATCGGAATGGCTGTATTTTGATGTTGTATTTTGATGTTGCTGATGTACATGAAGCATACGAAACCATAGTTAAAGTAGTCCATGCAATACTATAGACTACAATGTATTATAAGGAAATTCATGAGAAACCGAGTATGGCCATATTGGACTATGCAAAGGCCAGAATAGACCTGATCAATTATAGCAAGCGTTGTGTTTGACACAATCGGAATTAACTTCTTATCAAACTGTTGGAGAACTTTGGCACCCTCCAAGACAGCATTTATCAGTGGTATCAGGAACCAATGGAACATCAATAAAATGCGAGACACCAGGGTGAGATTGAGTATAGTATCCTAGATTCTTCAGATTCTATGTCCAGTACCACTCTGCATCTCATATTGGAAAAAAAAAACTCCATCATCTTAACAAATTAGAGGAGAAGACGCAAAAACATTCCGAGATATAGCTAAGGTACTCAACTATAATATCAAGACGGAAGTCCCTCCATTTGTCCCATAAACAAAGAAACTTTGAGATTTTGTTGGTGCAAATTCTGAAAATTTGAATAAAAAATGTCCGGCATGACAATTCTATTACAAGATCAGAACATAAGCAAGATAGAATTTGGAAGAAACTATGTAGTTACAAAACTTAGAAAAAGACATTATAATATCTAATGCTTTCATGGTTAATAAAAATGCAGTCTAAGATAATCTTGAAAAGTGGATGAAAGAAATGAAACTAATTAATTGACACATGCATTAGAACAATTCAGCTCTTATTCAGGTCAGCAACAAATACAAGAATTGTTTTACCTTCTTTTGACTCCCCGTCTCGTGTACATCTATTGACTCCCCATGCTCTTATCAGTTCAGGAATGATTGATAAGTAAAAACTAGGAGACTAAGTTCAAACTGGAAGAATTGTAGGTCTTAGAAGCAGCAAATACATTGGAATATGAAATACAACACTCCAATCAGAAAAACAAGTATGTATGATATAGTAAATGCTAACCAAACATTAGGTTTCCGTTTTCTTTGTCCAGAAAATATACGGAAATAAGTGGATCAGAAATATAGAAGGACCTGCAAATTAAACAGTGATTGTTAGGGAAACAAAGAGAAGAAAAGATAGCATATTCACATCTCTTATCCATCAGTTTAGACCTGTATACCTTCACTGTGTAAACGTTGACTACACATTGACCTGAGATGTATCCTGAGAGCTAAAATGAACCATCGTTTGCATTAAATTTGATAAGGAAACTCAGACGAATCCTGAACCCACCAGACTATAGCGGCAATGGAGAAAGAGAAGGAGAAGCACGTGTGCAAAGCAGATCATCCTCACTGCATACAAATGAAAAAATCTAAGAACCAGACAAGAAATATTGTTAGTTAGTAGGGGTAACAAAGACATACCTTTCAATGTCAACACTTTTGAAGGAGACACTGGGATACACAAGGGCAATTCTCAACAGAGACTCTTTCAGAGAATGCAAGACCCTCTTTGAGCTTCCAAATTATATATGCACACCAAAAAAATCAATCAGATCAGAGTACATCTTTAGAAGTAAAGTATGTAAAACAATATCTTTCATTTGTTTGAATTGTGAGAAAACTAGAAGTACTTGAAGTGCATTTGCTTCCTTCAAACTGCTGGTTGTAAAAGACATCACGAACAATGACTGCAAAGAGAAAAATCCCAAGAAATCCTTTATTAGCAAACAGTAGTCAACTCACATATAAACATCATCACCTGTTGTACAAATATTTTGGCAACAATCATCAATACGAAGGTACAAACTCTTGCCATCCTACAAACAATGGCAAGAACAAAGACCAAGTTAGTAGTTTAATACCTATCCTAATGGATACTACGAACTAAAATTCAAAAGAACATAAGTTGGGCTAGAGGTACCTAAGCACCAGGATTGTGATGTACATGAACACCTTAATTTATTTTGCCCTAAATGACTCATCATCCCACCTGAACCTGACAGGCAGTCTGATTTATAACTGGATCCAGCTGAAGCCCTGAATTTGTTGTCCAGGAAATCATCTTCTGTAGGTAAACTAGATGTGCAGAATTTTTGGATTTCCAGTTCACATCGACTATGCAATTAGCAAGACAGCCATCAAGTGATGTTGCACAATAATGTTGAGTGCAATTGCACACTAACAAATGAAAATATATTGCAGTCATTAATAATATGGAATTTCTCTCTTAAACATACCATCAAATACAGTTCCAACACAGATATTTCCCGAAATGCAATTCTGAGAACACAATGAAGTTTCCTTCAACTCCTCAACATGAGAGAACATTATGAAAGTAATAATGCAGCTCCAAACATAATTGCACCTATGAAAATAAATAAATAAACAAAAAGAATGGCAACATCAGGAATCAATCCCATGAATTATGCTTCATCCAAAAATTAGGTGGCCTGCTAGATTGATCTGCATTCCTCTGCCTTGGTAAAAGGTAGGAGCTGAATGACTTCTTCTACTCTTCTTCTTCTTCCTTATAAGCACATCTATTTACCCTCGAATTTCAGCATCAATCAATTTATGCGAGTACCCATCCGCCCGAGAGGAGAGCATAGCTCGTGGTATCAAAAAATTCTAAGGATTCTCTTCACCATGAGAATGCTTATGTGTCAAATCATCACCATCATAATAGAATTTAGAAGGATCTGAACTATAGACATCACATGAATCAAGTCCTCCTATACTGGCGTAGATTCTTGCATAAATCATGAGGATATTAATAATGACAGTTAAATACCCCCGTCCGAATGTTGCAATAGTTATGTCAAAAAAAAAAAATTCATATGCGTCTAACTAACTGCTGCATAGTTATGCGAATATTACTTTTTCTTATGCAGCCAACAAATGTTGTACTATTTATGCAGAAGTTCACGCTAAAATTTATATTTGCTATTGAGTCCAACAAACAATCCCTAAGAGAAATAAGCGTTTAAAGTAAATGTGTTATAAGAAATTCATGAGATACAAAGAATTGTCATAATGGACTATGCAGAGGACAGAATAGACCTGATCAATTATAGCATGTGATTTGTTTGCCAAAATCGTAAAGAAACTTCTTATCGACCTGTTGGAGAACTTTGGCACCCTCCAGGCAGTTTTTATCAATGTTATCAGGAAGTGCCTTGGCAGATTGCTATTCTGGTAAGTGATATCAAGGCTCTAGCACTTCAATGTCAAGTTACGATCCAGCATGTTTATAGGTAAAGGAATACACTGGCGGATTACATGGCTTATCTAGCTTTGGATAAGGAAGGGAGATTGAATTCTTCCACTTTCACCAAACTACCCCCCACCCCCCAGCCAGGAAAATTCTAAACCTAGAAAAAAAACTAGTGCCAAACTTAAGGATAAAAACTAAAAGGACTTCACAGCAACACAACATTAGGTAAGGGGAATTTTCTTTTATCATTTGATAAAGACCTTTTTTAGCCATTAGCCAACATCATGATAAGTGAATACTCAATGAAGGAATTCAAAATTTCAGATTACTAACATAGCAGAGAATTCACACAAGTTTCACAGGAGGAATATCAGCAGGATCCACGAGTTCACTACGGTCCAATTTACAACAAGCAAAAGCAGAAAAATTGTGGTAATATGAAATCATTACTTGAAAACTTGTATATGAAGACAAATAGCATACTGGAGAGACAATTTTTATACAAACCAGAAACATGTTAATACACAAGGGTGGAACCAAGTTTTTCAAATCGAAAATGCTCAGTTGGAAGGAGGCAAAATAAGTTATACATCTGGTAACACATTTTTGAAGCCACTGGAAATTTCAATTCACACACGGGGTACACTTCTGAATGAGAGACCAGAGGACCTTGATTTCAACTCATTTTCATATCTTGTACTTAGGTACAATGTAAAGGATGGACCGTAATCATAAAAAAAGAAGTCAAAATGTCCAAAAATCAAAGAAGAAGACACTAAGACACTTACCCGAACCGATTAAGCTCCAAAAACAAGAAAATGACGGTGCCACAGGTTTGATCAACCATGGGAGTAGGCATCTTTGAGGGAGGAGAACAGGGGAACCCTTTTGTGTAAGCACATACTGCATTTGTAGACAATAAATACTTTCCTTTTCTAGATCCATCTGAATAGGAGATTTTTGTTGTTGTCTTTTTTTTTAATAATTATTATTATTTTAACTTACTTGAGCTGGCAACTTTTGGGCTTGAAAAAAAGATTAAAAAAATGAATCACCAACAAAATGCAATACGCCAGAAGTGATGTCGAGTATAGTATCCTGATTCTTAAGATTCTCTGTTCCAGTACGACTCTACATCTCATATTGGAAAAGGAAAAAGTTCGTCATCTTAACAAAATAGAGAAGAAGTCACAAAAACATCCGAGATATAGCTAAGGTACTCAACTGTAATTTCTGGAGGGAAGTCCCTCCATTCTGTCCCAGAATTTAAGAAACTTTAGTTTTTGTTAGTGCAAATTCTGACTATTTGAATAAAAATTTCAGGCCTGATAATTCTATTACAAAATCAGAACATATGCAAGATGGAATTTGAAAAAGACTATGTAGCCTAGGAGACTTAGAAAGAGACATTAAGAAGAATGCAGTCTAAGATAAGCTTGAGAAGTGGGTTAAAGAAATGAAGCCAATTAACTGAAACATACACTAGAAAAGTTCAGCTCTTAAATCGTATTCAGGTCAGGAACAAATGGCAGGAATAGTTTACCTTCTTTTGACTCCCCGGTGCGTTTACTTGTGCCCTCCCCTTGAGCTTGTACTTTGCTATTCCAGATTTGAAACATCATGTCATGTGACTTACTAACATATTTGACAGAGATAAGATCAGAAACAGAATTAACCTTCCCAAGAAATTTGATGACATTACCTTTCATCAGAGAATTCCCTCTCACCACAACTTGGGGTGGAAGCTTAATTACATTATGAGATGACTGCCGTGGAAGCTCCCAGCAGATAGCTTATGCAGAATGATCCCGTCTCCTTACAGCTCTAGTTTCTGCACGATGGAAACGAACACTAATTAGTTGTACACATTTCTTGTCATCATTGATTATTGATACAAAGAAGCACTAAAGGACAAATTGCGTGGCATGAGTGGCACATCATGAACAGTCTTAATATTATTATTTCCTGCCGCCTTTCTTGAAGACTCTCATGACAAAGACTTTCTTCTTGCCTTGGTAAATGGAGGAGCTGAATGACTTCTTCTACTCTTCTTCTTCCTTATAAGTTCATCTGTTTTACCTTGATTTTTAGCATCAATCCATTTATGCGAGTCCCCATCCACCCTAGAGGAGAGCATAGCTTGTGTTATCAAATAATTCTTAAGATTTTCATGACTATAATCATCAATTCCAAGGTACAAACACTTGTCATCCTGAAAAAAAATGGGAAAAACAAAGATCAAGTTAGTAGTTTCATACCTATTAATGGATACTACCAACTAAATCTCAAAAGAACTTTATCTTCAAAACCTTTCAGTATCCATTTGGCATCCCATGAGTTTTAGTAACAATTTCCAACAAAGAAATGTCAGAAATACAGCTAAGAGCCTCTCCCTTTAAAGCCAAATTTTCAGGGAAATTGTGCATATCATCTCATGGCTGTATTTTGATATTGCTAGTGTAAATGAAGCATACTAAACAATAATTAAAATGGACAGACAAAAAGGAAGCATAATAGAAGATGAAATAATCGGGCACATATACTATCTCCATAAGCTTGGCTAGAAGTACATATGCACCAATCTGTATGTTTGTACAGCCATACAGGTTTGTCCTATTACAAGTAAATCCACAAAACAATAAATAAAAGAACATATGTAAAATGATACTAATAACACAAACCGTCAAACAGCCCTACAATTGAGTAATGCATGCAATCCTATAGACTACAACAATAATTATAAGTTACGAACAACATAATTGTCAGGAAAAAAGAAATTATGACATCATCCAACTACAGAAAAGATGATAGCTCAACATATTGCAAAAGACCACCATATCTTTTTTCATCAGCATCATTCCATCTCATGAAACACCAGAACGTTCAGATGATGACGTAATATAATAAATTTAGAAGAACTTTCTACACATCGAAGTTCATTGTAGCAATGTCAAAGAAACTAAAACTAACCATTGTCATCCACCTTAACATAGAAACATATACCTAGTGCAAACAGGTTAATGCGAACCCATCTCCCTAAAAAAAGGCTTGAAACAAATTCTTGATTCCGAGAATGACAACACAATTCCTTTTTTTTTTAAAAAAAAAAAAAGGATTTCTTGAATTTTGCAATGTCTATATATACTTGAAAACTACAATTTATTTGATTTCTTTAAAATATGCCAACAAGTTCTTGAATTTTTGTCAAGCATGAATGCAAGATTTCTTGATTTTCCGTAAAATATGCATCAAATAATACCAACGTAAAACTCCAAGAAACCAACAAGTTGTAAGAAAGGCGTACAAGAATTTTCAATGGATAAAAGAGTATCAAAATTGATTTAGGGTTTTACCCAGGCATTGCTTAATACTATGCATCCATCTTCTTGAACATAATTTTCTTGGATAGAAGAATTTTACTTGGAAGTCGGATGAATCATCAGCGAGAGAGTGTAAATGACGGTGGGTGGTGGGTTCTAAATTGGCAGGTGGGATCTCTTTTATAGAACAAAAAATTTAACACGCGTAAAATTTAAAAAAATAAAACACGCTAAAAAAAGTTTCCTAATTAAAATAAGAACAGGTTATTTGCTTACCCCTTCACTTATTTCATTTTTTATATTTTTTTTGGCTTTAATTGTTTATTCTTAAAAAAAATAATCTTTTTATCTTATTTAGCTTAAATTTTTAAAAAATAAAAAATGATAAACTAAATCAAATTAGAGTCTTTTAAAGGAGAAAATTGTAGCATAATTAATGACTTCTCTTATTATTATGTTGTTTTTATTGATCCGTCGTTATTATTATATTTATAATTAAGTGTAAATTATATTTATGACTTAAATAATTTAAAGGAAAATTACTCAATACACCCACTCATAATTCTTCGTTCTATTTCATTAACATCTTTTTCTTTATAATTTTGATTTGATCGAAATTGAATAATTAGCATATACTATATATATATAGGATTGAGGGACTTTTTTTTTATTTCTCATTTAGTGTTCGGTATCTAATAGTTACTCACCCGATGTCCGATATTCACATTGAATTCAACTAAAATCGGATTTGCATCGAGGAAGTCCTACATTGAGGGGTAAATCGCTCCCTAACAAAGGTGATTTTATATCCAAGGGGACTCAAACCGAGACTCAAGTATAAAAGAGTATTTATCATTCCACCACAACCCTTGTTAGTAATTAAGGGGCCATTTGTTTATGGAATAAACATGAAGTTAATACATGAATAACTTTGGTTATTCATGTGTTAATTTTATATCTTGTTTGGTTTCATATATTACTTTTTATATAATGTTTGGTTGATACGTTTTCAAATATTATATAAATGTTATTCATTTATTAATTTATATTCTGTGTTTTGTTGCATTTTTTTGTAGTCTACACAATTAATACTGATATAACTTATGAAAAAAATATATATATAAGTTATGTATAAAAGAAAGTGAAATAAATTAGGTGTATATTATTTATACATATATTAAATAATAAATTAGGCATTTACCCTTTTCCATGGCCAAATATAATATTTAAGAAAAACTGAACTTTTACCGTTTCTTGTTTTATTTCACTTCCTACTTTTTTTAAAGTAATAAAAACGAATTACGACAAAAAATGTGATATTTATTTGCTAATGTTATACTTATTAGTTATATTTAAAATATGCTTCTCTAATGGTGCTGGAATTATTTGAGATAGCCGCTATAAATATTTGAGAAATTAAATTATATTTATTGCAAATGACTTTTGCTGGAATTATTTGAGATAGCCGCTATAAATATTTGAGAAATTAAATAATATTTATTGCAAATGACTTTTGGTTTTAGTTATTTAACATGCTTCTGTAACGGTGCTGGAATTATTTGTGTTTATTTTTATTTTGATTTAATTTGACGAGTATAATACATATTAGCTTATTAAACATTTTGAAATTAAGAAATAAGAATAAGCTTACCATTTTTTTAAAAAGATCTACATACTAATACCTATCTAACTAAATCTTTCATGACTAATATATGTGCATAATTAAATCTTATATAACTAATATTTGAATAACTAATAACTCATCCTACACTAAATTCTATCTAAACGAATACATCCATAACTCTAACCAAACAGCCCGAGTGTTGAGCCCATCAACATTATACAAGGTACTGCATAAACGGATAATCAACCTCTCCTCTGCACTCCTTGAAAAAAGTAAATTCACCACCAAGAGGAGAAAATAATCCTGTATAATTTCTGTACTGTTACATCTAGACGTGGAAATGTCAAAATCCCAAAATCAAGACCATAATTGTATGCAAGACTGCAATGAAAATGGAGCTTAATTACTATAGTCAATAATAGATAGAGAGTGTCCGATGGTGTTGAAGAGATGGGCATTGTATGCCAAAAGCCCATAACCAGAGATCCAGTTCAACACTCAACACCTGTATAGCAAAATGAGATGTCACATTTTTGTAAAAGTGGCATTCAAACAAAGTAAATTGGGAACTCACTTTAGAATACACATAGCACAGGAATAACAAGTTGATAAATATTAGAAAGGAAAAAATTCTACCAAATATCTTGCAAGGAACATAGCTTACATGTCAGACTAACAGTAACCACAGTAGCAGCCTTTATTTTTATTTTTGATGACAAGGGAAACCTACAGCCAGTACCCTTTAAGTGTGCACAGGGTAAAACCTCTACTCTTGTGCAATAGCTTGCAAATCACATAGAAGAGGTAACCCGCACTAGACAAGCCTAGTGTGACGAGCTTGACCCAGAAAACAAACCATTTGCTTTCGCTGGCAAGGGGTTTTGAACTTGAGACCTCCAACATGGAAGTCCCAAGCTCAAACCATTGGGCCACCCCGACAAGTGCAGCCTTTATTTATTTATTGCCAGCAATGAAATCAGGTATATAGATCTCAGCTCAGATATAACTTACCTTAACCATTGGACATGTAACTCACCTTTTTATAGTCTTGTATTTAACCTCAAGACATCAACATGATGTAAGAAAAAACTTAGCTGGCGCAATAACTATATATTTCTAACCTTAGCTAGAGTAGGCATGTTAGCTGCAATTTGATTGCCTGTTGCCTTTTGAAGGCTCACTTTTACGAATGTGTTTCTAACATTTCCATTTGATGATTTCTTGTTCCAATAGGTATAACTATATATTAGAAAGTAAAAAAAAAAAAGCATACAAGTTGACTTGTATGTTTTAAAATCGAAGAGTAGGCATCAAATATCTAAAACCAACACTCTAGATGGCCAGAATTTCAATTAATACCAGCCGATCAACTGTTAAAGCTAAAAGAATGATTTTCTATATTGTAGATTATTCTATTTCATGAAGTCATTTATCTGCAAACTTCGGGATATAACTGTTCTAGGGTGAAGTATATGAAATATTGCACGTTTCCTCATAGCCCTGTCAATAAGAGACGTCAAGCTTTACACATGCAAAAAAATGCATATTCATTCAACAAAATTGGCTGAGTATAAGTTAGCAATCACCAAATCTAACCACTAAAGAACATCAAAACAATGGAAATGAGCAAGACCAACCTGCTTCCCAGTCTTTTTACTGATCAACTCCTTTATTTTCTCCACAGCATAAACAGAGCAGGCTCGGAGTTCTACTTCCTCCTCACTGCCTGAGACAATTTCAGTATTTTTCTTGATAATATTATCCAGGGAAGAACGATATCTCAGCACTCCAAGTTGCTGAAGGACAGCTGGAACAATATAATCAGCAAATATGGTTATTGAGCTTATGTCTTCAAAATCACCGTATCCTTGACCCTTAAATGCACCCCACAAATCAGCAGCAAAAATTTGAGCTCTTTTATACAAGAAAATCTGGTGGCCTTTGTATACCGTGTGATCACGGAAGCCTGCAACAGTAAAATAAACAAGGATACATATTACATCTCATTGTTGGAAATATGATCAAATGTAACATGTAAAAGGATAACTATACCAGGGAAGTGGCGTGTCATAAGAGCTACAAGCTTTGCAGCAGAGTTGTCGCAGGACTCCACAAGTTTAGATGCCTTTCCCTCAAAGCTCCTCTCAAGCTCAAGCCCAACCTTAACCATTATTCCACAGAGCTATTAGCTCACTAACAAGCTTAAGAGATCACACATTATTATAAGTCACAGCAAATTACGACTTCTGAACATTAAGAGAATGCACATAATGCAAAAAAAAAATAATTATCACCTGCCGAAGCATTAAAAGAGTGCATAGAACACCAAATCAAGAATTAAGAAGTGTACCTCATGCAATAAGCGCACTCGTTCATCCTCCAAAGGCAATGGTCTTGACCAGTTCAACATTTTCCTTAATTGAGGACCTAAAAAATGGTGTTTGCAATGAGATTATCTTCAAACAAGTACAAAGGGAAAGGTTATAAGATTTCAGAACTCAAAACATTCAAGACATTTGTCAAACTATATAAATTGAACCCGTGAGTTGCTTAACATAAAGACTTGCTGAACACAAACATAACCAACGAAGATGCTTTCAAGGTAATGTTCTCCTCTAGCTACCCTTTGGGATGGCCCGTGGCCATGTGGTTTGGGCTTGGGACTTCCATGTTGGAGGTCTCAAGTTCGAAACCCCTTGCCAGCAAAAGCAAGGGGTTTCCCATCGAGCTTATCGCATCAGGCTTTTCTAATGCGGATTACTCTCCTGTGTGGTTTGCGAGCTATTGCACATGAGTAGGGGTTTTATTTTGTGTGCACCCGAAGAGTAGCAGCTGCAGGTTTCCCTTGTCATAAAAAAAATTATTCTGTTCTGGCCCTAATAGTTTATTAATCTCACGAGTCTTTATTGCTACATCAGTTATGATCCCTTTTATACTTTATTAATCTTATGTGTCTCTATTGCTGCATCAAATTTTAATTCTTTTCAATCTCCTGACTTAACCTTGAGACGTGGAATAAATTGCAATAGGAGTTAAATTCTAAAGATTTAAGAGAGTGAGTGTCATGCCAGAGATTCTAAACTAGGATTTATCACAATATTTTTTGTCGAATAATGAGCTACTTCAACAACAATAGAAAATTTTAACTAAAGGCTAAAAAATGATAACAAGTTTTGGATCTTGGATTACCTCACTTGTAATAGTTAAATGAGGACCTTAAAGTTAATGATCACAAAGGCATTCCCATAGATTGTAGTTAGTTGGATTGAAAGGGATTAAATTATAAGATGGGTATTCAAAAGAAAAAGTGGACATCATTCGCATTCTTAAGGGACCACTTTTATATACGAATTGAGAGACTGTTCAGTGAACATCACATAGCCCCCGAGTGCATCACTGGATGCCAACAGTCTCATGCCACTACTAGAAGGCTTTCCTCACGCAATGGGTGGAGTAGGCAAAGTAAAAAAAAAATCCAAAAGGCAGAGTCTCAAAGAAACCTGCTTACCAGTATATTTCTGTAGACGATCAGCATCAAATGCAGATTTGTCACTTTCAAGAGTAACCTTTAATCCGGAT